GGATTAAAGTTGTCCTGCTTTCTGGCTCAAACTTCTTTGTGTGGTGGCGGCAGTTTAAGTAATGCAATCTGAACCGTATGTCATGCTCTGACAGCACGTCAGTCACCAGGCTTTAGCCCCGAAATGAAGTGAACATCTCTCTTTCTGTCAGGCAGAAATCAAAAGGAGTACAGTGGCAGTGTGGTGTAAGCTTAAACTTAAAAGCACACACAGAGAGAACATAATTGAGTCAACATGTGTTTGAAAAGTTGTTTCTTTGGGTGAATAAACGTTAGGACCAATTGAGAAACCAGACTGAAATCTTTACTGTACCAAAGGCCACAGTCAGAAATAAGAGAGGGATGCTGAAAAGGAAAATCAATGTCCAAAACTGTTCATATCACAAGGAAGGCTTCATTTTGAATGTCTATGACATGGAATTGGATGGCAGAATTCCTCTAGACAAGTCTGAATTACATTTGGCAAAAAACATTAGCTTTGGAATTGATCATCATCCCAGCCTTGCAAACTGTTGGCTAGTTGGTTAGTGTACAACACACAGGGTGTAAGAAATGGATTACACACACATTCCGAATGCAACACACACACGCTCCCAAAACCTAAATGATGACAACAAATCCCACATCTTAATCGAAAGAAGCAGTTTTAACCTAAATCTAGACTCTCTGAATGTTCTTATAAAATAAATACATTTGTGTCTAGTTTCAATTTATAAGATGGATTTGCTCAGATTTTCATCTTTTTAGATGTGCCTTTGAGTACATTTTGGTAATATTTAAATGATAAATTATATCCAATATTACCAGCAGTTAAAAAAATAAAAATAAATAAAATCCATATACTTGTCCCCGTTACGTCACTACTCTTCAATATCAAATAAATTTTCCGTCTATGCTTTACTGTAATCCTGGCAGTTTTCAGTGTTGTGCAGATGACGCAGCTGTGAATGTTGTTAAATGCTTCCTGCGTGTCTATGAAGTTAATCAGAAGTCGTGGTTATCTCTTTCATCACAGCTACTTGTTATATTGTTAAATGCCTCGGCCAAGTGTCCATGCTGTTCCTTTGAACGACACAGAGGCACTACATTGATATGCCAGCGTAGTTGTTAAAGCTTTTGGTTTACAACATAACACACAGGTTGTTGTTTTTTTGTTTGTTTGTTTTTTTTTTTTTAAATGTACCTTGTTTCAGGATGAGTTGCAAAGGCATTACTCATGCTTTTCGTGCTTCTCAGCTTGCCTGTTGTAACTCCCAGCACAGTGTCTTTCTAGATTCCCATTAATACAAAAGGCTTCAGGCAGACTGCGCAGAAGGATTAGGGAGTCACATATTCCGCCCATCCTGGCCCTTCTCCTCTGCTGGGTTCCTGTAAACTTTAAGATTAATTATAAGACACTGTTGGTTAATTTCTTGGCACCCAGTGGCTTGCACCTGGTTATTATATTTGCCAAGGTTTTAACCCCATATGAACCTGAATGCATGCTTAATGCACAAAAGAATCCAGCAACAGCTGGTTTTATATTAGGGCAAATCCTGACCAACAGTGGGAGAAAATACATTTATCTACAACTTATTTGCTTTTAGCTCTTCCATTTGTTGTCGATCATCTTAATTTTTCATTCAAGTCTTTTTTTGGAGGGATTTTAATTATATTTTATATCTATATTTTTATACGTTTATTTTATTTTTTGTGTGTTTAACCTCGCATACAGTCTCATTTTTGTCATTTCCATGACCTACAAGATTTGAGTTGACAGAATATCACCTTTTATTTACTTTTTTCTTCATAGTGGGTCTCTTTTGTTTGCATTTGAATCACAGCACCTTTATTTTAAAGAAGGCAGGAAACTGGGAGTGCAGAACACTAATAAAAAAAATGCAACAAGATCTTTTCTCTTTTTTTTTGTTTTTTATAAATGTCATATTAAACTAAAAATATTCCACTAGCCCTGGATGTACTAATGAAATCTGTTCTACACTATGCTGAATGTGTAAAGCATAGAACGGTAGCTGCTAATAAGGCTGCGTGGTTATGGATAGTATATTTTTAAAATTAGTTACTACTTAGATAATTTGCCTTCTTTTTAAATTTTTATCAAACAAATGACACTTTTAAAAAATGTAGCACTGTATACCAGATGTTGTATGTAACCATGGTTTCCCTTTCCCAGGTGTGGGTGCCGCCAGCTCGGGTAAACTGACTTTCATGGTTGGAGGAGCAGAGGAGGAATTTACTGCTGCTAAAGAACTCCTGAGCTGCATGGGAGCTAATGTGATCTATTGCGGTCAAGTTGGAACTGGACAGGTGTGAGCCGTTGTCTGGCCTTTGTGATTCTGAGAAACACTGATCATGTGTCCACAGGTTCATTCGTAACCATTTCACAAAATGAGAAATGTAGATGTCACCTAACGAATTACCATTTTGTTGTAGGCTGCTAAAATTTGCAACAACATGCTTTTAGCTATTGGAATGATCGGGACTTCTGAGACAATGAACTTGGGAATCAGGTGAAAACGCTTACTTAGCATTACATAAAATGGATGACAAATAACATCATGTGGTTAAATTCTAACATTGGTTTCAAATCACAGACTTGGTCTTGATCCCAAACTTTTGACCCAAATCCTGAACATGAGTTCAGGCCGGTGTTGGTCTAGTGACACCTACAACCCTGTACCAGGAGTCATGGAAGGAGTCCCCTCTGGGAATAACTACCAGGGAGGCTTTGGCACTCAGCTAATGGCTAAGGTTAGTTTGTAAACCTCATGGTCACACATATGAGGGAGGAATTTTATTTTATAGTCATAACATTTCCTCTCAGTGATGTCGACGGCTTATTGCCAGCAGCACCATTATTTTTAAATAAGTGTTTTGTCATTCATAAAGTATTTGTTTATGGTGTATTTATTTCTGTGCCTTACTTTAATGACAGCAACTCATTAATACAACACTGTGGTCTTCTAACTTGTGGTTTCAGAATGACATTTTCCGCTTTGATTGTGTTTCTAATGTATGTGGGGCTTTTTTTTTTTTCTTTCAGGACTTGGGCCTCGCTCAGAACACAGCAACCAACACAAAGACGCCTGTCCCTCTCGGCTCCTTAGCCCATCAGGTGTATCGTATGATGTGCGCACGTGGTTACGGCAATAAAGATTTTTCCTCAGTGTTCCAATTTTTGCGTGAGGAGGAGGGCCAGTAATGTCAGCCTCCACGCCGTCCACAGCCTTTCCATGCCCAGCTCTGCACAGGACTAACATAGCGTAGTTAGGGTGCATTTCACCACAAGGGCTTTTTTTTTTTCTTGAAGGTCTCAGAGCTCCAACAAAGTGTGACAAATCAAATGAGAACTTCATTCCTGTCAGGAAATCATGTATCCTGTGTGATCTAGCCTTTTTATAGTAAAAACACTCATTTCATTTTTTATTTACAAGATGTTGAATTATCATCTATGTATCTAAAATTTTAGCAGAAATTCTTCTTGGGGTTGAACAACTACAAATGCAGGTTGTTCTCTGCATATTTATCTATTGTTTGCAATGGTTTCTTTATGTTGCTGTTTTGTTTTTTGTTCATAGGGGAGTTGATGCTTGAGTGTCATGTGGTATCCTGTTTAAAAAACAAAATAAAGAACAATGTTGGCGTCTTTAACGGATTTATTTATTTGGATTTTAGCTTCAAATTGACTTCAGTTTTAATACTTTTTTTTTTTAACTCTTGCGCTTTCATTGTGACCTTGTACAATGGCAATACGTTGTGCCCAGGAAGCACCTCAAATAACTCAATGTGCGCAGTCCGCAAACTCGCAATTAAATGCAGTCAAAATTCACACACTCGGAAAGAAGGATTCTAATTCTCGCGAAAGAGATGGCAATTTAAGATTTAAATACATTGTGCAGCTCCTATTTGGTCTCGCACTGCGTAATTTTCACCCCATGCTTCAGAGCACTAGTAAGTGAAATAGCTCCCAAATGTTACTTCATGTTGTGTGTCTTACTGAATTAGAAGTCACGGTAAAATGCTGAACAAACAGCTGCCACGGGAAACTTTGCTGCAGAGGGGATGCAGTGATGGGATGCGGCGTGATAGAGAAACACATGCAGGGGCAAAACTTGTAGAACAACTTATCCTTCCCCGCTCTCTAAGATTTTCATATTTTTTGCGCTTTGACTCGTCAGGCTAAGAAACAAAGCCGCGGTAAACTGCTGCACCAGGTTGTCCGCCTCATTAGTTTGGGAATCTACCCCTCTCTTATATCCCCACTTACGCCAGACAGGAGGACGGCATGTTTCTGATCTAGTTTGCCAAGAACCACTGAGAGGCCAAGGTGCCATAGGTCATGCGATCACAAGACAAACCCATAAAAAGTCCATTAAGCACTGTAGGCTAAGAGCTGTGTTGTCATCTACTTGATAGGTACTGCAAACAGAGCAGCACTTTGGTCTCCGCAGACAGTAACACACAAACATCAGCGCGCATGACACGCCGAAGCTCAAGTTATGGCATCTTTATTTTTTAAAATAAATTATACATCCAGCCGTGGGTTTGGTTTCTTCTCTCGCTCTCTCTCTCGCTCTCGCTCTCAAAATAAATAAATAACATGTGTATTTGATCATGGATCGTGTCAGCCAATCGAGGTTCTTTCAGGCTCTGCCTAAAACTTCTTTCATTGTTTGCAAAAAGTTGATATATTCTATTGTTGATCGTGTTAAAAAAAAACACATCCTCGGTATTTTTTAAGTTCCAAATGTAATAAATGGTGGCTTATCTTTTCTGTCTTTAATTTAAAAATGTAATAAAATTAACAATTAATATGTATATCTATTTATATTGTTTTTTATGTTTATATTCATATATATATAGCTATATTAGGAGGTGAAAAACAAGCCCTATACAAACAGAATTATAAGCATCAGTAAATCTGTCTGTGTTCTCCGCCTAACTTCAGAGGTCTTTTGTCTTCTTCTATATTTAATTTATACATTTCTAGGTTCTTTGTCTTCTTTCTGTTGTGTTTGTGATAATTAGTCCAGTATTTAGAATCTGCAATCACAGTTTCCTGTTAATCACTGAATTTTCAGACAAAATTAGGCAAAGTAGTTTAATGCTGAATCTTGCGTGTGTGTCTGTGTGTATGAACACACTGAAATCATCTTTACTGATTTTCCCTAATTTTCAGTCCGTGATCGACTTTCAGTTGAGTAAACTGCTCAAAAACCGATTTCTACTAGCTGTTATATTCATTTTAGAAAGGCATCCGCTTTTTAATGTGTGAACAACTTGGCTCAGATTCCTTTCGAGCCAGCTCTCATTTATTGTAGCTCAGCCGCTTTTGAAATGCGGAGTTTTTTTAGATGGGAAAAAAAAATGCGAAGTAGCATAATGTTTAACAAAAAGCAGATTCAGGGTAGTTTATCGTGACAATGCAATAAAAAAAAAAACAAAAAGCGATAAAAACAATAAGTATTATGAGTTTTTTCCCCCTGAAATCCAGCCTGGACTACTACTCACTCTTGCCTATTAGCTATGAACTTGGGCCATAAAGATTTACGGCCTCAAAAGGTGGGAAAACGCTATTAAAAACACACACACATATATATATATATATAAACATATATTTTTTTAAAGGTGCTCAAATTTAGTTGGGTATACATTCCTCTGCGTTTGTGGTTTCAAACTTAAAATAACCATAAATGAAAATAGTATGTAAATTTTCTCCCGTCCGTATTCACCTTTTCAGTGGCAGACTCACTTGCACAGACTTCCACACGGGCTAAAATGTAAACATTGGATTTGTTGCTGGTTGCACTGCAGACCAATGAGCATATAGCATCTGTTTATGGTAATATCTGCCCTACTTCTCCGAGTTTTTTAAAAGCTCTGACTCAGGAAAATAGTAACCCACGTGACCCTACAAAGATATAGGTTTAGCATATTTCCCAGAAAGTCCTTCATTATTCTTCTTATTATTAGAGATTTTATTCTTACTTAATTGCAAAGTCTTATCATAGGAAGGGAATAGTGCAAATTCAAGTTACTCCTCGTGGAAACCGGTGCCGCCCAAGCAGTCCGCGGAATTTAGCGCTTCTTTGTCTTTGTGCTTTAAGTGTCATTTTGGCAACACTGCAACTTCAACTTGACCTTGGCCCTCCGGCTGCGTCTCACTCGCATGAGGTAGAGTGCAACCAAATGCGCAATGTTTGTTGTATTTTGTGGACCCCAAATTTGTGTTTGCTAAACGTGAGAACGGTTTGATTTTTGATTTCTTTCATAAAATGCATTAGAATATATCCTTAAGAGATGTGTTTACAGCTTTGTTGTTTGTGTGTGTGTGTGGGGGGGGGTGTGTGTGTGTGTGTGTGTGTGTGTGTGTGTGTGTGTGTGTGTGACAGGGGGGGGGAGAGTGTGTCATACTAGATTTAGTAAAAATCTGCACGTTTTACTTAAAGCGCATTCAAAACATGTAATGTTTGCAAAACTGGTTTAAACCCCACCAAACACTGGGAGTGTGGAAGTATTATTTTCTTTATCAGTCAAGTTAAAACATGTTTCATTGTACGGGCGCGTGTGCATACAACTTCGCAGGGGAGAGGAAAAAAATCAATAATCACTTACTGCTTATTTCAAACAGTGCGTTACACAGTAATAAAATATGACTGCCTCCACACGAGGTTCATTCGGTGTGAGACTCCAAAAATCGTTTCCGATAGAAAATAAATGCCTGCGGGTCTTGTTGGCAAATACTGGATGCACTGACGTGCGGTGTCTTCTCAAACTCAGAGCCTGATCTGCATTATCTCGTGTCAAGACGTTTATCGTCTCCTTTGCATATCACGTGCTTGGCCCTGGCCAATAACCTTACGATCTTTACGTACTCAGGCGTGTTGGTATCGTTACTCTGCCCGAGTCCCTGTCTGGGCTCAGTCGAGGGGATTTTGAAAAAGAGTTGGTCGTCTCAATGTAGGGAATGCTATGACCGCCTCATTACTCCTCCACTCGCACTGGATTGACCCGGTGATGTTTCTGTACGAGAACGGTTTGGATGAAAGAAGCAAGAACATGGAAGGATTTACCGGAGGCAATTTTGCTGCAAATCAGTGCAGGAATCTGTTAGCGCATCCAACCTCACTGGCGCCCAGCACCACCTACACTGCGAGTGAGGTGCCAGTGTCTGGCATGGGGGAACCTGGCAAACAGTGCAGCCCCTGTTCTGCGACTCAGAGCTCGCCCAATGCATCTTTGCCCTATGGATATTTTGGCAGCAGTTATTACCCTTGTAGGATGTCACACGGCAGTGTTAAAGCGTGCGCACAGCCTTCTGGTTATGGCGATAAGTACATAGACTCATCGGTCTCTGGTGAGGAGTTCTCTTCTAGAGCGAAAGAATTTGCTTTTTATCAGGGGTATTCCTCTGGCCCTTACCAACCCAGCTACTTGGACGTCCCTGTCGTACCTGCGCTGAGCGCCCCATCTGAGCCAAGACACGAGTCTCTGTTGCCCATGGAGCCTTACCAGCCATGGGCCATCACCAACGGTTGGAGTGGTCAAGTTTACTGCACCAAGGAGCAACCACAGTCAAATCCTCTGTGGAAATCCACTTTACAAGGTATTTAAGTTTTTTTTCTTCTTCTTTTTTATTTATTCATACAGAAATATGCAGTCTTTGCCGGCGTGTGTAATTAAACTTGCAAAAACACGTGCTTGCAGGGCTTATATATATTAGGTTGTTTTTTCCCCACTTCATTTTGCGTTTGGACTTTTTAAAAATATATTTGTTGATGCATTTTTTTTCATCAATCCAGCAAATTAACGAACTGATGTGCTTTATTTCCCAGAAACTATCTCTGGTGGAGACAACTCTGTGCGTCGTGGGAGAAAGAAGCGTGTGCCATACACCAAGGTGCAGCTCAAGGAACTGGAAAGAGAATATGCCACCAATAAATTCATCACCAAAGACAAAAGGAGAAGGATATCTGCGCAGACAAACCTGACAGAGAGACAAGTGACAATCTGGTTTCAAAACAGGCGCGTAAAGGAGAAAAAAATCGTCAATAAATTCAAGAGCTCCAGTTAGCTCCGAGGATGGTGAAAGGTGGACATAGATGCCCTTTAATCCGAAAAAAGAAAGCAAAACAAAAAGAAAGAAAAGAAAAAAGAAAAAAATACCTGTGCTATAATTTATTACTTTATGAACGCTTTTGTTGTCGCCAGAGAGGCTCTGTTTTGTCCTGCACATTTCCTTCTCCTGTTTTAATTGGAACCAGCCTATACGGCCTGTTGACAGAAGATCGGAAATGATTTTGGAACACGTTGACCAAGGCAATTGTGCGTGGGATGCTTTAATATTATTAACCAAAGACATTCTGCTTTGAAAAAAAAAACTAAAAGAAGAGAAGAAGAAGATACACGCTGTCCGCTCACGGGCCTTTCTTCTACTTAATACAACACTGAAATCAAAGCTGAATCACTAACAGTGAAAACATTTATAGACAGTGTAATGCTAAATAAAAATGTCACTGCATATAAACAGGCCAGGCTCAGGTAATCACGGTCAAATTCACATATTAATTACAGGATTCAATTCTTCACACACGTTCTTGGCGGCTCGAAAAAAAAACAAGCTTAAAAAACCATCTACTTACTGAACTTAT